AGGTGGTTTAAGAAAACACGCAGAGCGAGAGAGCGAGAGAGAGAGAGAGAGAGAGAGAGAGAGAGAGAGAGAGAGAGAGAGAGAGAGAGCGAGAGTCGCAAACAGGTCTCGTTATTCATTTACATTTACCTCGAGACTTAATTCGCCCGGACCCTTTAATTCGCAATGTTAAGTGTCCTCGCGAGACGAATAATGCGCGCCATCATCGCGCGCAAACTCCCCGCGCGAAAGTAATAACGCTACGAGCGGGAAAATACATACCGAAGAAACCGTGCATCTCGGCAGGCTCGCCGGCGAAGGGTTCGTGACGTCCCTCACTTTATTATGATTTTCAACAGCGAAAGAAAGAACTCGCCGAGAGACGACAAGAAACGCACAAAATCCCGCAAAGTCCCCGCTTGATTGTGCATAATATTTGGTTTCCTACGTTACTGCGCAAAAGGAGCTGCACACGTCGTCGCACGTCGAGATGACGGACGCGCGCTAATGACCGCGCATGATAATTTCATCGCGAAAATGTTCGGCACCGCAAGGCGCGATTAATTCGTAGCGACGTAAGCTCTCCCTCGTTTTCTCCCGAGCCGACTACAATTTTATACGCGATATACGTCAAGTTTGTGCAATAAACACAGACGTTTGTCCGCCTCGTCGAGCTACGGGTGATTGATCGATAGAGTTTCACGATAGAGAGCAGTCGATTTCTTACTTATTTTATTCATTTTATTTGTAACTCTGGTCCGTGTTTCTTTTTTTCTTTTTCAAGAGATGAGGGAACAAGAAGAGGAGATCCGCGACTTCTTTTAATAAGCGTTTCGGAGCGCCTCGATTTGAAGATTAAACGCGGCGCAACATCCCTGCCGCGCGCGCTCCTTCGTTGCGAGCGGCGCATGCAATCGGGTGCATTGATGCGCGCGATGCAACAACAATCGGGATATAATTGAACGGGAAGTACACGAAACACTGCTGATGGCGTCCCCGACGCCAGGGAGCGAAAAATCGCTCGTTTAAGGGGGGAATTACATGCGGAAGACCGTTTTCAAGACTATTTTTATCAACTTTTTTAACGGTAAGTAACGGTAAGATCAATGGACTTGACATTTTCACAGTGTATTCATTAATGTTCGAGATATAAGATAAATTTTCGAAATCGAATCACAAGAACCGATCCAATTATAGATCAAAATGCAGTCATCCGTTTTGCGAGCTCTGTGTTTCCTGTCGACATAATTCCGGGTCTCTCCCTACTCTGAAACCAAAAACTGAGAAAGATTTTTGAAATATACGATTGCCATTGTAGCCCGCACCAAAATGAAGGCAGTGAAAAGGCAAGTTTGGCAAAATAATGACTGAACAAAAAAAAAAAAGTATTGAAAATGAAAGTTTTCTCAACTTGTAATCGTATTAAAAAAAAATAAAATAAAATAAAAACACAACTGTGTTCGAGGTAGGGGCGAAAACTGCATTTCTACTGTATATTGTTTAAAAATTTCAAGTTATTCGGTTCAGTAGTTTCTGCGTAATCGTGTAATCGACAGTTTGAGAAAATGGTGTTTCCAGATCAACGCGTTTAAAATTTTATGTGTGTACTTTCCATATAGATGGTAACAAATTTATTTTATACCTTGGACATTAATGAATATACTAATGAAAATGTCAAGTCCATTGATCCTACCGTTTCTATGTTAGAGAAAGATTCGTGGAAATAGCCTTGAAAACGGCCTGTCCCTCGTGTAATTTCTTCCCTCAGTTTGCACGTCGGATGGGAATGGACCGCGGCGACTATTATATTTACAAAACGTAGCTGCGCGAGACTACCAGATTCCGTAGTATTATTGTCTCATGGCACATTGGCGCTCACCGCAGCGAACAGAACACGCGCGCGCGCAAGTTACGAGCAAACATCCGCGCCGTCGTAAGTCCCACGCGATCCGCGTCGTAACGCGAGGCGCGAACGCGCTCGATACCTCCGCAGGATTTTAGGACCGCGATGCACTGAGGATCTCCAAAGTGACGCGAGTCACTTTGTTACAGCCGATAGATAGCTTTTTCACCTGGACTACACACCTTGCACCATCGGACTTTATCCCCTTGCGCGCGCGCGCGTGTTACACGCATAAAATATTATCGAAGGAAATAGCAAACGCGATGATCGCGCGAACACAACCGCCTCGAGCGAACGCAAGCCAGGAATGCAAATGATCGTCTCCTCGTTGCAACGATCGTGATGCGGGAAAATTCCTAGCGCGATTACCACGTGCGAAATATGCATACGCGGCTCTGGATACAACTCGCTTTCGACAAAACATTAATTAGGCATTTGGATTCGCAGGAGCGAGCGAGCGAGTAACCGCCGTTACGGCGGAGAATCCGTTCAAGAATGGACTTTAAAACCTTATGAAAGATTCATCTTGGCGCTTTAATTACATCCAGATATTTAAACGCGAAGAAGTAAAGCTCCTATAATTCTTGAATATTACACCACCATAGTGTCGTCGACCGTCGAGCACGTGAGTGCAACGAGAGAAACGCGAGAAACGCGAGAGCGTGCGAGCGTCGTTATCTGCAGCGGATCTGCAGTCGCCGTAATCAGCCGGGGCCGTTGACGCGAGGTGGAGAAATATTAATTTCTCTAAGTATGATAATGGAGTGAATCAGCCGGCGGCTGACTTTCCTCTCTTGACGTCACGCGGCCGCCGCGTCGCGTCGTGACAAAAGTGAGAAGACAACCGATTTTGTCCGATCGATCGGATCGCGACTCGACTGTAAATTCCTCACAATTAAGCACACGCACTTAATAATTTTCATCTTACCTCAATTTCATTTCGTAACGCTATTTTAAATGCGCCAAGCGTGAGCGGATACAACATTCCAATTGATCCAAAAACAACGTGTCAACTCTCTCTCTCTCTCTCGAGTAATTTAATGACCTCTTCTCACGCTATCAAGAATTCATCGATCACGTCTCGCATCTCGAAGAGATGCGAGTTGTTTTCTTCTTATTTTTTGTTGTTGTAGAAATACCGCTAGAATACTCGTTTAGTGGAACGATCACTTTTTTACCGCCTCGGGGTTAAATTCCGCTCCGTAGGATGATTAAAATTTTCCAGGATTAAAGCGAAAGACACGTACAGCGGAAATAATCAATGATATTTCTCCTTTTCCTTCTTTTTTCCCAGATGATACGAGTTTTCGATACGAGGTGATTTTAGCGTTTAGGTGAAGTGAGCGTTAGCTTTGCGTACAGACGCGTGTAGGGAGTGTGAGACTCGCGCCCCGATAAGAGTGTACAGACAGACAATATCTTTATTTCGCACGGAATCCAAATCCAATTTATCGCCGCGCGACAGAGAGAGAAAGTACGTTCCTTAATTAAAGATAACAATGAACGCGAGAGAGCGTCCCACACGGGGAGGGGGGGGGGGAGAGATGGATCAAAATTCAAAATCGCGCTTATTCATTCGCATTTAATGTGATACGTCAGCGCGGGGCAATAACGAAGCGAAGGTATGCGTTCGCATCTTGCGCTCGCATCGTTCGTTGCGACGTCAAATGCGACGAGCGTGTAATCTCGCACGGCATGAAGATAACAATGAGCGCGAATTGCATGCGAGGAAAAATAAGGATTCGGAATCTCGTTTAATCACACACGTTTAACGCCGTGAATATGTGTGTGTGTGTGTGTGTGTGTGTGCGCGCGTGTCGCGCAGGATGATACGCGCGAATACGACGCGACGTTACGGAGAGACGCGCGCGCGGCGCGGCGGACAGCGCAGCGCGAAGTGTTGGTGTGGAAGGGAGGAGGGAGTGGAGGGAGATGTAATGACAGCTGCTGCAGCATGGAGCGTAGGCCGTGTTTCGTTACGAAACGGAGCGCACGCTCCGAAGACACCAAGGTCCGCTCGCTCGCTCGCTCGCACCGCTCTGCGTTTAGCGTCGCGTTTAAGCGCTAAATGGAGCCGCTCGATTCAGAGTTTTATTCGTCTAATGGCGATCAATGTCAACGCGCGAACGAGTACGAGAAATCTCGTTGGAATCGCGTCGCGTCACGTCGCGTTACACAGGAAAAAGGACGGAGAGGAAACTCTCTCTCTCTCGCGCGCGCGCACGTCTTCAATAACGCGTCAACGCGGCGCGTTATCAGCTGTCAAAACATTCCACACACGCAACACAACAAACAATAAATAGACGAGGGAAACGACCGCCCTCGGCGGTGTCCTCGAGTTAGGACACCGCCGATGTCTCGCGGTTTGACGACAGGAAGTGAAGCACGAATTATTTTCGTACTTTGTCTCCGCCCCCTCTCGCTCCGTCTCTCTCTCTCTCTCTCTCTCTCTCTCTCTCTCTCTCCTTCTCTCTCTCTCATTTCCGAGCCACGAAGTGACATTGGCCGTTCTACTTTGGACACATCGAACGAGTAGACATCTCGCGAAAGAGAGGTCGCGGCGAGAGAGCATATTTTCCATGTTTCAAAACACGTTCTGCGAGAGCGGCATCGCTTTGAAAAGTTTCACCGCATGAATTCACAAATCACGGGGAGAGAGAGAGAGGGGGGGGGGCGGGAGGGGATTCGCGTCCACGTTCAAATGTACCATGTATCTCGCTGTTTTCCCGACGATGTCGCAGCGTAAAAAGCTCGCGAGATGTGAAGAGAGGAGAATGAGGACGACAAGAAGGAGGCGGATACGAGGGAAATGTAGGAAAGGGAAGATGCTGCTGCGGAAGAGAAATCAAAAAACAAAGCGAGTCGAGACGAGAAGAAGGAAAGGAAAGAGAAAGAGGTTTTCCATTCCGTTCACTGACAGGACGACGCAGGACGCGGGAGGGAAAAAGGAGGAGAACGCCAGAGGGTGCGGTAGACATGTTAGACGAGCCGATGACAAGAGCGCGCGAGCGAATATACGTTTGAGAGGAAGAAAGAGAAAACAAGAACGAGAAAGACAGACGCATCATAAGCAGACAAATAAAAAAAAGAAAAAAAAAGAGGAGAGAGAGAAACTCACCTTGTCCGAGGGTACGCGCGGATTCATCGTAACTGGCTGACGGGGTACGTCGTGTCGTGACGAGTAATCCAAAGATGATGAGCTCTTGTGGTCCCGACGACGACGTCGGACGTCTCGACGTCCGACGACGACGACGACGACGACGACGACGACGACCACGGCACACTTGTCGAGACGAGGACGACAGAGCGGCGACGACGAGTGGGCGAGAAGGGCGGGAGATGTACCTGCTGTATGATCAGATGCACTTTACTTTCAACGACGGCGATGACGGCGACGGCGACGGCGACGACGACGACGACGACGGTGATGGTGACGGCGACGGCGACGGCGACGACGTCGGCGACGACGGCGACGGCGACGACGACGACGACGACGGCGATGGCGGCGACGATGGCGACGACAACGAAAACACACTCTTGCTTTCACACTCACAGGGGCCCGCCTCGCTTGCGCACACTACACCATTTCGATAGGCCGCCGTCGTGTGGCCTCCTCGCACCACGACCGACACCCCGCCGTACGAGCCGCCGCTGCCGCCGTTACTTGTACGCGTCCGGTCCGGGGTGTTCGGGCGACATGCTGAGAGCCGAAACCCGAAAGCGAGCAGCCACCGGCCAAACAGGACGCGGACGCGCGCGCTCTCTTTTTCTTTCTTCCTTTCTTTCTCTCTCTCTCTCCTCGCTCTCTCTTTCTCTCTCTCTCTCTCTCACTCTCTCGCTCCTCTAAACTTGTCGAGACAAGTTTGGACGCGACGCGACGAACCGCACTGCACCGCACCGCACGCACGTACGCACGCACGCACGCATGCAACCACCGTACTGTGACAGTGCCAAACACATAAAATGGCGATTTCGCGTACGGTAGATAGATAGAGCCTTCCGGACGAGCGAGCGTCACGGAAGTTGCACGATCGACTAGACGGCAGACTCGACTCGCGGCTGAACTGAGCGCGCGCGCGCGCGCGCGAGAGCGCGACGACAGCGCTGCGAGCGATATCGATTTTCGATTTTCTCCGAAATCGATGATCGATCATTGACGATTCCTGTCTCGCGCAACGTGGTGATACAAGTTGCGTTCCTCATTCATATTCACTGCCAGCACTAAAAATCTATAGTATACATAACACAAACTATGTATTTTTAGTACTGGCAGTGAATATCGGAACGCAGCCTAGGTATATTGGCTGCGTTCAAAAAACAAAGCGCTTACTCAGAGCGATTAGTGACTATTGGTCTTTATTGTTAGATCCTTGCATTCAGACTAATTACGTTGACGAATTACTCAACCGCTGTACGTACGTACAACCGTTGTGTTTTTTGAACGCAGCCAATGGCCGCGTTCGACAGAAAAAGCTGCTTACTAAGCGCCTAGTGATTATCGTTGTTGATTGGTTCATTCCTCTGGATTCATTAAAGATCTGAAAGAATACTCCAATCATAGATAATAATCACTAAGCCCATAGTAAAGCCAGCGGCACACGGTGCTTGTTTTCGTGCTGGGTTGCTTGCTGGATGAAAATACTGCGTTCTGATTGGTGCATTTCCATCCATCTTCGGAAATGTACCAATCAAAACGCAGTATTTTCATCCAGCTAGCAATCCAGCACGAAAACAAGCACCGTATGCCGCTGGCTTTAAGCAGCTTTTTCTGCTGAATGCGGCCATTGTTTATGGTTCCGCATGTTTTGTATCTGTGCCTGAGTGCCCATTACCCACGTTTTCTGATTGAACGAATGGTAGTTACAAATATATTTTTAGGTTATCATTAAGCCCTGAGAGTCTGAATTTCTGTTTGTGCCATGAACGCTCATGACCTTTTTAGAACCCTTACAAAAGGTATTACGTTTAACACGAAACGTTCTCGACCAGAAGCAAAAAAATCTCAGGTAACTGAAATTTTTCTATTCTACTCTGAAAGTTAACGTTTAACATTTACATGTTTTCGTAAATATCTTTTGTGCAGATAGTGAAACCTGTCGTGAATGATATAAATGTAAAGGAAGAAAGGACAAAAGAAGATGAAATATCAAAGGTCAATGAAGAAAATAACAAGAAAAGGAAACGTATGGAAGACGAGATTGAAGATAATGAGACGTTAACTCTGCTGGATGGGCTATCAGTGCCAAAAGATGGAAGTATTTCAACTTTTAAAAAGCATAAAAAGGTCGCAACTACTGATAAGATGCTTAAACTGGAACAAGAAAAGGTTTGACATTCATTCATTTAATTGTATCTAAGTAAATTCCCATGGAATATATGGAATATTTTTACCATTCTCTTTTCTTGTTTTTAGATAAATCATCTAAGAAATCAAAACCGTATTTCAGTCACAGGTAATCGTGTACCTGAATTAATAACAGACTTTGAGGAATTGAAAACAAAGTATCAAATATCAGAAAATTTGATGAATAATATGAAAGCTTGCGACTATATTTGTCCCACACCAGTACAAATGCAAGCAATGCCAATTTTGTTAGAAGTAAGTAACTTTTCTCTCCGAAAAATTGTCATTAAAGTCGTAAATACTTAATCCTTTACTTATCATTGATAATCAACAGGGTAGAAATATACTAGCTTGTGCTCCGACAGGATCAGGAAAGACTGCAGCTTTCTTGCTACCTATAATTTGCAGTTTACAAAAGCCACAAAATAAAGGTTTCCGTGCTGTTATTTTAAGTCCAACAAGAGAATTAGCCAAGCAGACATATAGAGAATGCCTAAGTTTAAGTGATGGTTATGATTTTAGAATTCATATAATTAACAAAACCAATCAAGCTCTTACCAAATATGGACCATCAAGTTCACAAAAATTTGGTAAGCAGAAACAAAAATAAGAGTTTCAGTAAGAATGAATTTTCTCTAAAATTTACTGATGTTTCAGATATTTTAATAACTACACCCAAGCGACTAGTCTTTCTTCTGAATCAAGATCCTCCAGCTATTTCATTAAAAAAGTAAGTTTTTTATAAAATTTATTATATATTGAATCTCTAACTATACAATTAAGCTTGCAATTAGAAATTCTTCCCTATCTTCACAGTGTAGAATGGTTAATTGTGGATGAAGCTGATAAACTTTTTGAGGATGGAATACGTGGATTTAGGCAGCAGTTGGATGAAATTACAAAAGCTTGTACCAATGACAATTTACATTGTGGCATGTTTAGTGCGACAAACACACCTGTGGTAACAAAATGGTGTCGTCGTAACATGAAAAGACTTGTGACAGTAACAGTTGGACAGAGGTATACTTTGTTAGTAGATTTTACAAAGGATATATGTGAATATATGTGAATAAACATACTCGGTATATTTTATAGGAATGCAGCTACAGATTTGGTGGAACAGGAACTTGTATTTGTTGGCAGTGAAAAGGGCAAGTTAATGGAATTGAGGAACATGATTCGAAAAGTATGTTCAAGGTTAATTAAGTTGAATTATGACGTTTTACATTATAGTTTAAAATAATAATTATTACAGGGTGTAGCACCACCTGTTTTAATATTTGTACAGAGCAAAGAGCGAGCCCAAGAACTGTTCAATGAACTTATTTACGATGGCGTTTACGTGGATGTTATTCACGCTGACAGGACAGTGACACAGGTATGCTGAGAAAAGTTTTTTTCAAATAACTATCCAGTTAAAGTTACATAATTGTAATTGATCTATAATTGTATCTCTTTTTCTTTTCCAGCGAGATAATACCGTGCGTTGCTTCAGGGAAGGTAAAATCTGGATGTTGATTTGTACAGAGCTGATGGGCCGAGGTATAGATTTCATAGGCGTAAATCTCGTTGTGAATTACGATTTTCCATCGTCCGCAATTTCTTATATTCACAGAATAGGTATGCGCTGAATGTAAACAAGTAACTTCGAAACAACTGTCCTGTCTCATCGAAGACGAAATCCCTTCTTTTCTGACTATTGTCAATTAATATGTTGTAATTTAAATCATTCCTGATTTGTCTCATTGTAATAACATCTGTTTGTATATTGTCGAGAGCAATCGCAGTTGTCAGAGACACAGGACAGTAATTATTTCATACTTCTTATTGCATAGTTTTTCAGCCTTGAATATTTATTTGTATCAAAATAGGTCGTACTGGCCGTGCTGGTCACAAAGGAAAGGCCATAACATTTTTCACCACACAAGACACGGCGAATTTAAGGAGGTACATGTTATTTCTTTTTTTTTTACATATGTCATTTACAGCCAGACAAAACCATTACAATGACGACAAACAGTCTTTCTTCTTTATGCTTTTGTTTTTATTTCAAGTATCTCTTGCAAAATTCTTTTTTTATACTATTTAATATCTTATATCTAACACCAAATACTTTCTAATTGTCACTAATGTTTACGTTTTTATTATACTCAAATGAAATGGTTATGGAATATAGTATGTACTACTTCTCTGTTTAGTATTGCGACGGTTATACGCGCGTCCGGTTGCCACGTACCTGATTATATGCTGGCTATGAAGAAACACAGTAAGAAAGAACGACGTAAACTCGAGCGCACAGCACCCACGCGCGAGAAAATATTAACCGTACCCACGTACAAGCGACGCAAACGAAAACTGCACGTCGAACAGAAATTAGAGACGGAAGAAAAAGCGTAAAAGTGTAAACGCGATATTCGTGTACTTTATCGATCATATAAATATAATGATTCATATTTACAACTATTGTTCGCTCTATCTTTTCCCTCCTCCCGTAACAGATCACTTGTAGGTACTTCTTGAATAAAACTGTTGATAGAGATTTATTGCGCGATACGAAAGCGCAATTTCCTTTTCGATTATTTGTTTTTTTTTGTAGGTAACAATTGCGTGTAACGTGGACGTATATCAATTTTTTGATAAAAAAAATAGCAGATTTGGTAAAAAAGCGACATCGCACGGATAATACAGTCAGGATCAGGAATTCCTCTCCGCGAATTAACGCTGAAGAAAATAGTCTTTTACATACCTCAACGTATGTGTATTCCCACAGAGTTTCGATGAAATCAAATTTTTCGAGCCGGATTACATGAGTCCCTGGTAAATACTGATCCCTTCGATGTCGATTATCTTTTATTGTTCCAAGAGAATAAGTAGGTAGAATCATATCCCCGACCTCGGAGCTCGCACTTTTTGCATCTTCCCCTTTGTAGATTTGAGACCTCACTTGACTGGGGGAAAAACAAAAAGAAAGAAAACACCGATTGTGGAGCGTCGGTTGCAGCTATGCTTCAACGATTACAGAGTTGCATGTTGAGGAAAATGCAACTCGCTACTCATGAATATGTGATACTTCGCGTATTCGCAAAGTACTACAACTTATCGCGCACGTTACCTGACGACTTCGTAGCGCTATTAAATTGATTTCCTTTTGATACTGTCTCAAGAGAATACGCAATGAGCCCTTTTAAGCGTAAATATTCGACGAGATGTATGTTTGTTTCGCAGTGTCCCTTTGATGACCTGAAAGAAAATGTCTTTCTATGACAATCACTACTATCATCTCAACAAACGACTTTTGTCCATCATCGGCCAATGGCCGTATCAATCGCGTCTGGAGAGTAATATGATGTTCGGCATCACGCTATTCTTCACTGGCAGTTTGACATTCTTGGAGGTGTTTGAAATACGCACGACCCAAGACCCAAGATTCAAAATTAATCGTCTGTTTCGAATTGTGTTCGTAGGGATGGGGTCTGGTAAGCGGCATAACAGATCTGAGCATCATCATGGAGAACGCGTCGCCGATGCTGGTGAACATCTTCATCTTTGTGAAACTGCTCAATTATTTCTTCAATAAGTATAAAGTCCGTACATTTCCGTTCCGTTGCGAAACGCTAAAGCTGGCCGAGCATTTCGTAATCATAAATCGAATGAATTCTTCGAAGTGCAGATGAAAGAACTTCTGGATCACGTCGAGGAGACCTGGAAGATGATGCAAGTGGGTCCACGTAATGAAATATTGCGGAGCTACGCGGAACAAAATAAAGTCTATACGATAAGATACACGTGTGAGTTCCTCTCGTTTCCTTTAGAGATCGATGTCAACGTCATTTTCCCTCCTTTGACGGCTCGTGTCAAATTATATCTCTCGAGCGAACACGGCTATTATGAAAAAAAGGAAGAAAAAAAAGAAACAACAAGCGGCTCTCGTTCCAGTGGCTTTGTACACGATGTGGATCTTGTACTCGACGACGCCGCTCATCGTCAGCTGGACATACAAGCTTCTGCCGATTAACGCGACCTACACGGCCCGATTTCTCTATCGTTTGGAACACGTTTGTGACGTGGACAAGTACTTCAATCTGCTGATGCTGCATGGCTTCATCAGCGTGTTCTACATAGTATCAGTGCCGATCGCGGTCGACGCGATGTTTATACTTTGCATCCAGCATGTCTGCGCGTTGTTCGAGATCATAAAGTAAGTCGATCTCGATCTTTGGGGAAAATCCCTCTGAATGATGTCACGTTTTCAATCGAGTATAGGTACGACATGGAGCGCATACAAGGTTCGGATTTCGTGACGCTTGAGCCGGATATTGCGGACGACATCGGGTATCATAAAATAATCGAGTGCATTAAATTGCACGACCAAGCGTTCAAGTTAGTGCCAGTTGGAAATACTCTTTAGCTACACATGTCTCTCTGGCCGGCGTCTCTTTACTCGACTTGTTTTTTCCCGATTTTTCTATACACCTGGTTTAAAAAAAAAAAAACGTGTCTGTCAATATCGATTAGTAAAATACGTACAACAATCGCTGGTTATTCGAATTCTTCAATATACAGCAGATTCGGATAACGAGGAATGACTACAACTGTTGGGGACTTGAATATAAGTTTTCGCTGTTTTTTCGTGAAAATGAATGCTTTATTTATGAAAATGAGTAAAGACCATGTCATTGAAAGTATTGTCCAACGCTAGCCACTACTTTCTCCCATCTTTCTGTCAGTATATACGAATACCATGTCGAAAGAAACGACTCATCTTTTGAGGTTATCCACGAATCGGCCCATTTTTTGGCATCTTCATAAGAATGGAAGTGCTGTTCAGCCAGGTCATGAGCCATCGATCGGGACAAGTGGTAGTCGGAAGAAGCAATGTTCGGTAAATACGGCGGGTGAGATAGGCCTTCCCATTTCAGCGTTTCCAGGTAGATTTTGACCGGTTTTGCAACATGTGGCCTTTGAGGGGCTCATAATATACTACACCCAGCTGATCTCACCAAATACAGAGCATGAGCTTGGAACCATGGATATTCGGCTTTGCCGTTGGTGTTGACGCATGCCCGAGCTTATCCCACGATTTTCTACGTTTCGGGTTATCGTAGTGTGTCCACTTTTCATCGCCCTTCACGATACGATGCAAAAAATGCCTTTCCTTTTCTGCCGTTGGAGCAGCTGTTCACACGTGAAAAAACGCCGTTCAACGTCTCTCGGCTTCAACGACGTACGGCACCCAATTTCCTTGCTTTTGAATCATTCCTAATGCTTTCAAACGTTTGACAACTGTTGTGTGATCAACTCCTAATGATTCTGCAAGTTCAATTTGCGTCTGACATGGGTCTTCATCCAGTAATCCTTCCAATTCTCCGTCTTCAAACTTTTTCGGTGCGCCAGAGCGTTCTTTATCTTCAACATCAAAATCATTATTTTTAAAGCATCTAAAGCTATCTCTGCATGTTGTTTCCGATAGAGCGTGGTCGCCGTAAAGTCTCCACAAGAATTCTATATATTTCAGCTGCAGATTTTTTTTTTTTAAAGTGATGCAATAAAATTCCCCGCAAATACTCTGTTTTTTGAAATTCGAACATTCGGACGAAATTCGACATGTTTAACGCTATGAAAAAATATGTTGTTTACGCTTCGGCGGAATAACATATACTGTCACTTTCTAATGGAGCCTAATGTTGGAGCTTCACGATGAAGTTGGCTGTAGTATTGCCCGATGCAAAAAGGCTAAGACAACACTATCTGTCGGGAAACAGCGAGAACTTATTCAAGTCCCCAATAATTTGCAACCTTTATACGACGTTATAGCTTTAAAGTGAATTAAATAGTTCTACTGAGATTTTGCGTTAGGACACAATTTAATCGTATTAGAACTGCTCACGTGGACTAACACAACTGTTTCGTCATTTTACGCAAAGATTTTCCGAATTGCTCTCATTCGCTTACGCAACGTCCTACCTTTTTCTACTAGGAAGTGTGATCATATGCATCAGTTTCAGCTCGGCTGAGGTAAATACTTGATAATTTTCAGCACTGCGTGTGTATATACTTGGGTTTGTTTTTATCTTGTATGTTTAATCGCTATTGCATACAGTTGCTCATGGTGGATCTTCAGTTTGACGAAATTGCCAGATTTTCCGCCTCTAATATAGCTCAATTGTTACACATATATTATCTGAGTTGGATGTGTCAGCGATTGCTCGATTACAGTGGCGATCTTCATAAAGTAATGTACGCATATTTGTTTGCAGTTGTATACGTACATACATGTATACCCTAATAACAATGTTACGTAGCTAAATCTATCGGAAACAGATTTTGCTAGACGCCTGCTGCAGGAGTTGATGGCAAACTGATGTCAGACTTAATACAGACTCTGCAGTATCAGATGAGGTCGGCAGAATATCAATAATATTGAGACAAAATCTGTTACGCAGGTTTGACATCAGATTGACGTCGACATTTAAACAGATCCTGACGTGCAATCTGGCGGCAGATTGCGATGGCAGAAACATATATTGGGTCTGGGAAAATGTTCGTGGCGTTTTTTTAGTAAAATTCAACTGGTTTTCTTATAGTGTGAAAATGGATTTATTTAAACCAAATATGCTCCATTACTATCGACAATATTTCGCCATTTTTCGGGTAGAGCCATGATGCAATCGGTGAAGAACTTCTGTGTTTTCTGGTTGGAAAACTGAATCAAGTGGTTTTCTCAGGCTTCTTTTGAAACCAGCTTAATTCCATTGAGAGAGTTCTGCAGAGATCGGAATAAGTGATATTCAGAGGGTGCTATGTCTGGACTATACGGTGGATGCATCAAAACTTCCCAACCAATCTCTCACAATTTCTGACGGGTCATCAAAGAAGTGTATGGTCAGGCGTTGTCATGATGGAAGACAACACCTTTCCTATTATTCAATTCGGGCCGTTTTCTTTCAATTGCCTGGCGTAATCTCTCTAGTTGTCCAGAGTAGAGTTGAGAATCAATCGTCTGACCAACTGGAAGTAGCTCATGGTGGACGATTCCCTTTCAGTCCCACCACACACACAGCATCACCTTTTTCGGCGTCAATCCTGGCTTCGCGAACGCTTGTGACGGCTCATCATCCCTTATCCACGATCTTTTACGCTTCCGATTGTCGTACGTGATCCATTTTTCATCACCGGTTATGACACGTTTCAGAAATGGCTCTATTTCATTGCGTTTCAGCAGCGCATCGCAGATGTTAATTCGGTCTATCATGTTTTTCGTGCTCAACTCATGAGGAACCCATACATCGAGCTTCTTTTTGTAGCCAGCTTTGTGTAAATGGTTCAAAACAGTTTTGTGGTCACTGCCTAGCTCCATACCAATATCGACACTGCTGATATGCTTATCTTGCTGGGCTTTTTTAAGAATTTCATCAGCTTTTTCAGTGATTGGACGACCAGAGCGTGACTCATCTTTCACATCAAAATTACCAGAACGAAAGCGAGCGTACCATTTCCGCGCAGCAGATTTTGATAAAGTACCTTCATCGTGCACAGCACAAATTTTTTCACAAGCCTGCGCAGCGTTCTTCCCTTTGTCGTAATAATATTGCAAAATATAGCACAATTTTTCATTACTTTTCTCCATTTTCAAACGCAAACAACTTTCCAACCACTGTACCAATTTCGATGTTTATACACTCAAAGTAATGCTCGAAGTGTCACCTTTCCAACGAGCGTTAAGTGGTGTCGCTGCGATCTATGTTTCCTGAGTTATTTGCAATTGACGCCATCTATTGGGAAAAACGCCACGAACTTTTTCCCAGACCCAACATTATCGAATCTTACTGTGCATAGTCTGACGGCAGATTGGCGACAGGAATACAGCAGATCCTGACGCACGCAGTGCGTCTGGCGAGAGATAGGTGGCAGTAACAGATCCTACTGCCCACAGAGTCTGACAGCAGACTGGCGACAGAAATACAGCAGATCCTGTCATAATCAGTTTTACGCCCTCTCCCTCCTCTCTCTCTTTTCCCCCAGTCATATACATTACGTCAAGGTAATAATTAAAAAACAACACAATATACGTACAATCTTTTTATTTATCGCATAAGATGCGATTGTATTTACTGTGGAAAATTATGACATTAATACAATGTAATTTTTAATTTACGTATTTGCTTAAACATATATATTACATACCTATAGTTAGAGAGATGCAACTGTAATATAGATCCGATATCGTTGCAGATTGCCGTGCACCTAATTTATCAGTTACACCAACATCGCCACCAAGTTATCATGTGTCGCCGCTTTCTGAAGCTATGAGAAGAAACATCGTCGCCTTCGTTTTCCCGCGCATAAACACTATTGTCCCCCTTTATCCCTTTGGAAAGTGCATGGAAAAAGTTTATTGTTAACTTTTTTCCGATTATGGCTGCCTCGTTTGACAGTACCTTGTGCTATAAATAAAAAGATTGTATGTATAAGTTTTGGTTCTTGTTCAATAAATGACTTTGGGCAGAGCTGTTACACTCTATCCCCTACGTCAGTCAACGATTATGAAGATTATGAAGAAGAAAAGAAAAACAGGGACGCGTACGCAGTCCCCACGTTCAAAAAATATGTGTAGTTACAGAAACAACATCCAACCGCTATGGAAGCGAACAAAAGACTCTATTGTACGTTATATTATGTTGTTTTTTAATTATTACCTTGACGTAATGTGTATGACTGGAGGAAAAAGGAGAGGAGAGAAGGGGCGTAAAAATGATTATGGCAGGATCTACTGTATTTCAGTCGCCAGTCTGCTGTCAGACAATGGACAGTAGGATCTATTACGTTCCTACCGTCATTCTGGTGTCAGACTGTGTGTACGGCAGAATCTGCTGTATCTCTATCGCCAATCTGCCGTCAAATAATGTAAGCAGACTCTGCGTCATCAGAATGCGGGCAGAATGGATAAACAGTTGGCACCAATCTGCTGTAAACCTCTGATTCATTCTGCCGTCAGTCTGCTGTAATGTTGCTGGCAGGGTATATATATACATATGTGCACGCCAAAACTTGTGTCAATTAATGAGAAAAATGCACTTCACTATCAGTTACAGTTGCAACTGGTATACGATTTCAATGAGATCTAGACAACTGTTAAAATTCATGTTGATGCGTGCCACTAAACCGTGTCAAATAAAAGCTGGAAAGATGTACGTAATGTCGATGGAGAATTTCAGCTCGGTACGTAAATAGATATTACGCTACTCGGATAAACATCTTCCTTCGGAAAAATTTTCAAATTAACTTAAAATTATTTATAGTTAATTGTGAGTAATTTATAGTTAACTATAAGTAACTTTAGGTAACTATAATTATAACTTTTAATTGAGTTAATTTGAATATCTTAAAGTATTTTTTCCTAAGAGCTCCCTACTAAGGTACAGCAACATCATATAGTCTTCTTTCCATCCTTTTTCAGATTTTGCAAGTATCTGTATCTTACTTCACTATGCTCACGTCACTGCAATAATTTTGTTATAATCAATAAACTCAATGAAACTATACAGCGCAATAAAATTATACAACCTGTTTAAGACGGTATTGTCGTTTAGAAATTTGAAAAAATCGATTTTGAGTTTTTTGGATTTTCTTATACTACAGAACTTCCGAATATAGGGGGTGTTATAAAAGTCAGAATATACAGGGTGTTATAAAAGTCCCGGAAGAGCAGAATAACTCGAAAAATATGAGTCCTAGAAAAAATACGAAGTACTGAGTTTTTATGATTTTTTCCTGGCTATCTGACGGTAACCTTGGATTTGACCTTGACAATGACTTTGAAGGTCATTTCAAGGTCAGGTCAATTTTTTTAAATGGGATCCCATACTTTTGACCCCAGAAATGAAAAGAGCGGAAAATTCTACGTTCGGATATGATCTTGAACACTGCCAAATTGACCTCTGAAGGTCACATAAAGGTCTAAGCTTGTTTTAAGCTGAAAACGCGAATATCTTCGAAAATGCACCTGCTAGGGAGCAATGTTACGCATAAGAACAAGAATATAGAGGTCAACGAGGGACATTTAGCCGTGACCTTGTCCTTATTCTCAAGGTCATGAGTTAAGATTAAGATTATTAAGATCAAACCGGACTTTTTTAGGACTGAAAATCCATACTTTTGACCTAAAAGTGTCAAGATTGAAAAATTTTACGTTCGGATATGACGTTTTCAACCTTGACCTGTCAAACGCACTGTCAAACGGTCAATGGGGAACATTTTGAACATCTCTTGTACTCCCAGGCCGAGTTACGAGATGCTTTGCCTTCGGTGGCCGGGACTAACTGAACCTTGCCTTCAGTAGTCGGCTTTGAGACACCTTGCCTTCAATAGTCGGGTTTGAGACATCTTGCCTCCAGTGGTCGGGTTTGAGACATCTTGCCTTCAGTGGTCGGGTTCCGAGACGCTTTACTTTCAGTAGGCTTCACGATCAGTGAAGTAACGTAAAACGCATAATTTTGAGAACAAGATCAAGGTTGAAAACGTTATATCCGAACGTAAAATTTTTCAATTTTAACACTTTTAGGTCAAAAGTATGGATTTTCAGTCCTAAAAAAGTCCGGTTTGATCTTAATAATAATCTTAACTCATGACCTTGAGAATAAGGGCAAAGTCCCTCACGGCTGAATGTCCCTCGTTGTCCTCTACATTCTTATTCTTATGCGTAACATTGCTCCCTAGCAGTTGCATTTTCGAAGATATTCGCGTTTTCAGCCTAAAACAAGCTTAGATCTTTATGTGACCTTCAGAGGTCAAATTTGGCAGTGTTCAAGGCAATAACCGAACGTAAAATTTTTCGCTCTTTTCATTTCTGGGGTCAAAAGTATGGGATCCCATTTAAAAAAATTGACCTGACCTTGAAATGACCTTCAAGGGCATTGTCCAGGTCAAATCCAAGGTCACCGTCAGATAGCCAGCAAAAAATCATAAAAACTCAGTACTTCGCATTTTTCTAGGACTCATGTTTTTCGAGTTATTCTGCTTTTCCGGGACTTTTATAACACCTTGTATAAATATGCCTGTTAAAACCATATAGTGAAATTCGTAAAATTGGCTGAATTGTAGCAATTCTAAGAAGTACGATCGCGCGGGGAGCGTAGCCGAGACACAGCTGCGCCTTTCTGCTGTTTCCTTTGTTGTTCGGTTGTTTGTTGTTTTGATCTGCTCGGAACACCTTAGGCCTGTTTGGGGCCTTATATTAGAAGAAAAAAGATACACTCTGTACAACCAGTTCAGCCAAAAAAAAGGAAGCCTTTTGTTGTTCGGTTTAGTTTTGTCTGGACCTTTGTACGAAGTAGACGCGAACATACAGCAAAATGTAAGATATGACGCGGATTCCGACATCTATGGGAATTATAATGCGCTAAAAAGACATCCGCCGCGTCTACTACAGTGACATCTATACGAGTATATATATTCTTGGGCGGCAATTCAAAGCTCTCTTCTCCCTTCGCTTGGCTTTGCTTTGCTTCTTCGCTTTGCTGCTCTTTTCTCATGCGTGAGCTTGCCTAGCTATATAAAAAAACTGTATCGGAAGCGAAGTATTTTTGCGGTGGTTAAAACGGAGCTTTCCGTCCGGTTCGATGGTATGTTGTTATCAGTCGTAAGAATCTATTATTTCTTATATTACCGTAGTGTTTCTTTGAGAAGCAAGATTATCGAAACTTGTTCGTTATGAATCCAAAACGATATACGGGTTATATCGGGTCTATATTGTCACCGTTATACTTGTGAAAAGTGAATCATTAAGATGCTGTTAGTGTTCGGTGCTTGAAGCAGAAATATAGAAACTGTGTTATGTGTGTTAATCAAGACTTTGGTTTATTGAATCCTGATGAGAAGATACATGTAGTTATCATAAACAGAATTCATAATTCTTCATAGCCGTTCGACAATCCTTTTACCGACAATCGCAAGGTCATTCCTTACAGCTGTGAAAGAGTCAGAAGTGGGATAACAACAGCGCTTCTCTTTGTTCGTCTCCTGCGGAGCGCAAACGGGGTATTGTTCCATATGGGCCAGGTTCGATATGATCTTGAAAACAAATAAATAAGGTCATTAGACAATAGTCAGTATTTTAGCCGATAATATAAGCGGTGTGACACACAATATACATGTGCGCGTTAGTGTTATAAGCGGGCAAGAGAAAGAGCATAAAATTTAGCTGACGCGATTCTGCGAAGTTTAGAGTTTTTTACGGTTTCCGAGTAGTGACCGAATAGTTTGCCAACGGGCAGCTCTAGCTTCTATATTCTTTTAAACACTAGTGTTGGTGTGCGAGTAATATACAAATCATAAGACGGTGTCCGATTACTTACTTGTTTCGAATCGGTGTCCGTAAATTCGGCAACGATGGATCGACGAAAGCTTTGGACAATATGTCTTTGGAGCAATTGCGGGAGGAAGCACTCCGGCTCCAACTGCGGGCTTTTGGTTCACGAGACGCTTTGATCGACGAAATTATGACTCGCGTGGAGCATAATAGTCCATTAATCGAGATGCTTGGCGGGGAGTCGGCGCCTGGACGTCAGCCAATGCAATCCGCGCCGGAGCAACAGGGAACGTCACAACCGAACTTTGCTCGGATGGAGGGAATGTTCGCTCGTACGATGACGACCGTCTCGCAATGTATCCAGCAGCAACAGCAGTCTATGCAGCAGCATCAGCAACAGGTTATGCAATTGATAACTCAGTTGGCTAACAATAGTAATTCTGTAGAAATGCCTAGAAAGGTTAGTCAGACGCCGATAGTAGCTGATCATTCTCCTGGAGGTAACCAGACTAGAGGTTCCGATGCGTCAGAGACTGGAGGGGCAGTCGCACAGTCTTCAGCATCCAGTATAATGTCCGTCAATTTTGTGTCAGTATTGGCGTCACAATTTCCCGAATTTGGAGGTTCAGAAGACGAAAACGTACACATATGGATACGGCGCGTTAATCAGGTGGCTCAGATCCATAACGCCGCCGATCGTGTTGTACTGTTAGCAGCTTCAAGTAAATTGACTCGCGAAGCGAGGCGATGGTACAAGTTCCAGTCCGGAACAGCACTCGAGTCGTGGGAGTCATTAAGTAACCAGCTGGCTTCGATGTTTGACCGGCGGACTCTTTTCCACGTAGCGATGCAGAAAGTGGAAGCAAAGAAGTGGAACCATCATAGAGAATCCTTCGATCTCTATGTCATTGATAAGTTGTCGCTAATGCAGCGGTTGTAGCTTCCTGAGGAAAGTGTTATTGATCTGCTGATGAGGGGGAATTACTATCCCTTCACTGAGTATTACAGCGGCAGCATTGGCCAGCGACTCAGTGGATCAATTTCTACTGAAAATGAGAAAACTACACACAAAACGTTACTCGGTTTGATGAACCATCTTTTAGCAGTAGTAAAACAGTTGTAAATAAAGTAACGCAGGGTAGGTTTATTAATAGAAAAGAACAAACCTCAGACAATCGGTTGAGTTTCAGCACCGGTTCCTGCACATACTGCAGAGGCAGGGGTCTTTCCAGATCGGAATGTTATAAACTTAAGCGTCGGGAGCAGTTAGGACGCCCGAACACAGTCACTCCGTTGGTCGACTCATCAGTTCCTTCAATCTCGAGAGATTCAACACATACTATTGCCATGGTCAAGAAGGACGAGAAGACACGACTCAACAATCCTTTCGTGAGCGTGATGCAAATCAATAATAAAGATTGTTATTTACATGCGCTGTTAGACACAGGCAGTCCCGTGTCATTTGTAACTTCAAAAACTTTTAAAAAGTATTTTAATGAAGCTTCGGTTAGGTTAAAACCCACTACTAAAGATAAGTTTAAATCGATAAGTAACGAAATGTTAAAAGTAATGGATACCATTTGTACTTTGATAAAATTAGAATCCTTAGAGGATAAAAAGATCTCAATCTTATTATATGTAGTCGATACCAAGAATTTGGGCGCAGACACGTTATTTTAGGAAGAGATTTTCTAACCAAACAAGGGATCAATATTCATTTTCAATCCTTAGGGGAAATTAGCAGTCAGGCCGAAAATCTTTTTCATCAAGACTTACTAAACATTAATGTCGAGCCTAGTTCGGACAGTTTGGAGGAGGTTGTGATATCATCTTCCGCGAATCTGAAACCAACGGATCAAAAGAAACTCACAGATTTGATAACTTCGATCGAGAAAGAAACAATTTCAGTAATAGATGACGGCTGTCGCGTTAAGGTTAATCTCAAAAACTTTTCGACTTACGCATACGCACCTCGTAAATTTGCATTGGCAGAGCGTGAGCAAGTTCGTGAAATTATTGACGACTTGTTGCAGCGAGAGATAATTAAACCCAGTACATTTCCATATTGCGCCAGAGTAGTACCGGTGAGGAAAGAATAATACGTTGCGTTTGTGTGTGGATTTACGGCCGTTAAATAATCGAGTGGTTAAACAGAAATCAGCCTTTTCCGCTGATAGAAGATTGTTTAATGAGACTCGGTGGTAGATCAGTCTTTACGTTGTTAGATCTAAAAGACGGGTTTCACCAAATTAAGGTTGATCCAGATAGTACTAAGTATTTCGCGTTTGCAACCCCGGATGGGCAATATGAATATACGCG